GTCCTCCGCCTTGGTGTCCCAATTCACACTGAATACAAGTGTATTTGGAACAGGGTGGAAGCAGACCAATACGGACTGCATGAATTGCATTGCGGAAGCACAAAGGGCTGGCATGCAAGACACAAAGAGGTCAATGACATCATCAAGAGAAGTCTCGCCTCAGCTCAGTGCCCTGCGGTGAGAGAAGTACGCATCTTAGGGGACCAAAACCCAGATTTCCTCGCACTTCACCCGGATGGCATCACCATATACTCATGGAAGGAGGGTAGACAGTTGGTGTGGGACTACACATGTGTATCCACCCCTGGCTGACACCTAGGTACACTTCGGTGCTGATCAAGCAGGTGGGGCGGCCAACCACAGGGAAATAGCTAAATCAGTCAAATACAAGCGATTGGAAGGTCAATACACCTTTGTTCCCATAGCGTCTGAGACCAATGGCCCCTGGGGCAAGAGTGCCTTGAGATTTCTCAAGGAATTAGGCTCCAAGCTCATTGACGTCACCAGAGACCCAGGAGCGGCCAGTTTTTTGTTTCAACGTCTCAGTGTGGTGATCCAGAGGGGAAACGCCTGCTGCATCCTCGGTTCCTGTCCGGAAGCGGAGTAGCTTCAAGAGATCCACAACCTTTGAGCACTCTTTGCATCAACCAATGTACATCTTGTAACCTTTCAGTATATACAATAAAGCTACCAAAAAATCATAAGGAAGGGAGTGGTAGGAGAAAAGCACACAGAAACTGTATTGGAGGGGACCTAAACATTCCCTCTAATGCGTTATGTGTGATTTCCTCCGAGACTAAGGGTCCCCCTTCTTCCAGCCACAGGTGGTACTCATTAAAAAAAAAAAAGAAATATATATATATATATATATATATATATATATATATATATATATATATATATATATATATATATATATATATATATATATATATATATATATATATATAACTGAAAACTCACACCCCAGAAGTGACTCGAACCCATACTGCCAGGAGCAACGCAACTGGTATGTACAGGGACGCCTTAATCCGCTTGACCATCACGACCGGACAAAAGGAAGTGATAGCCGAAGCTATTTGAACCACTTCCCCACCGGCACTCGGATGGTAATCTTGGGCATAGCATTTTATCAAATCACCTCATTCTTTGGGGCACACGTGAGGAACACAAATGCAAACAAGATTCACAAAACAAGAACACAAATGCAAACAAAATTTGTTTGCATTTGTGTTCCTCACGTGTGCCCCCAAAGAATGAGGTGATTTGATAAAATGCTATCCCCAAGATTACCATCCGAGTGCCGGCGGGGAAGTGGTTCAAATAGCTTCGGCTATCACTTCCTTTTGTCCGGTCGTGATGGTCAAGCGGATTAAGGCGTCCCTGTACATACCAGTTGCGTTGCTCCTGGCAGTATGGGTTCGAGTCACTTCTGGGGTGTGAGTTTTCAGTTGGATATAGTCCTGGGGACCATTCAGGCTTGTTTGCATATATATATATATATATATATATATATATATATATATATATATATATATATATATATATATATATATATATATATATATATATATATATATATATAACTTTAGAACACTTTCCCACCAGGAGACTCGAACCCTAGCCAGCACAGAAGCCTTCCAGCAACTGGCATAACAGGTACGCCTTAACCCGCTCCACCACCAGCTCAGACCCTTAAAAGAGATGGTAATTTCGGAGTATTTAAATACACCAAAGATCACCACCTCCCAAGAGCACTAGAGCAAGTGAGGGGTCATTTACACGTTAATTTTATCAAGTCCCTGTTAATATGGGAAGACACAGTGTCTATGCTTAAGGCACAACTCTCCTAAACACGAGAGTGAAGTGTACAACTTTAGAACACCTTCCCACCAGGAGACTCGAACACTAGCCAGCACAGAAGCCTTCCAGCAACTGGCATAACAGGTACGCCTTAACCCGCTCCACCACCAGCTCAGACCCTTAAAAGAGATGGTAATTTCGGAGTATTTAAATACACCAAAGATCACCACCTCCCAAGAGCACTAGACCAAGTGATGAGTCATTTAGACGTTAATTTCATGAAGTCCCTGTTAATATGGGAAGACACAGTGTCTATGCTTAAGGCACAACTCTCCTAAACACGAGAGTGAAGTGTACAACTTTAGAACACTTTCCCACCAGGAGACTCGAGCCCTAGCCAGCACAGAAGCCTTCCAGCAACTGGCATAACAGGTACGCCTTAACCCGCTCCACCACCAGCTCAGACCCTTAAAAGAGATGGTAATATCGGAGTATTTAAATACACCAAAGATCACCACCTCCCAAGAGCACTAGAGCAACTGAGGGGTCATTTAGACGTTAATTTCATCAAGTCCCTGTTAATATGGGAAGACACAGTGTCTATGCTTAAGGCACAACTCTCCTAAACACGAGAGTGAAGTGTACAACTTTAGAACACTTTCCTACCAGGAGACTCGAACCCTAGCCAGCACAGAAGCCTTCCAGCAACTGGCATAACAGGTACGCCTTAACCCGCTCCACCACCAGCTCAGAGCCTTAAAAGAGATGGTAATTTCGGAGTATTTAAATACACCAAAGATCACCACCTCCCAAGAGCACTAGAGCAAGTGAGGGGTCATTTAGACGTTAATTTCATCAAGTCCCTGTTAATATGGGAAGACACAGTGTCTATGCTTAAGGCACAACTCTCCTAAACACGAGAGTGAAGTGTACAACTTTAGAACACTTTCCCACCAGGAGACTCGAACCCTAGCCAGCACAGAAGCCTTCCAGCAACTGGCATAACAGGTACGCCTTAACCCACTCCACCACCAGCTCAGACCCTTAAAAGAGATGGTAATTTCGGAGTATTTAAATACACCAAAGATCACCACCTCCCAAGAGCACTAGAGCAAGTGAGGGGTCATTTACACGTTAATTTTATCAAGTCCCTGTTAATATGGGAAGACACAGTGTCTATGCTTAAGGCACAACTCTCCTAAACACGAGAGTGAAGTGTACAACTTTAGAACACTTTCCCACCAGGAGACTCGAACCCTAGCCAGCACAGAAGCCTTCCAGCAACTGGCATAACAGGTACGCCTTAACCCGCTCCACCACCAGCTCAGACCCTTAAAAGAGATGGTAATTTCGGAGTATTTAAATACACCAAAGATCACCACCTCCCAAGAGCACTAGAGCAAGTGAGGGGTCATTTAGACGTTAATTTCATCAAGTCCCTGTTAATATGGGAAGACACAGTGTCTATGCTTAAGCCACAACTCTCCTAAACACGAGAGTGAAGTGTACAACTTTAGAACACTTTCCCACCAGGAGACTCGAACCCTAGCCAGCACAGAAGCCTTCCAGCAACTGGCATAACAGGTACGCCTTAACCCGCTCCACCACCAGCTCAGACCCTTAAAAGAGATGTTAATTTCGGAGTATTTAAATACACCAAAGATCACCACCTCCCAAGAGCACTAGAGCAACTGAGGGATCATTTAGACGTTAATTTCATCAAGTCCCTGTTAATATGGGAAGACACAGTGTCTATGCTTAAGGCACAACTCTCCTAAACACGAGAGTGAAGTGTACAACTTTAGAACACTTTCCCACCAGGAGACTCGAACCCTAGCCAGCACAGAAGCTTTCCAGCAACTGGCATAACAGGTACGCCTTAACCCGCTCCACCACCAGCTCAGACCCTTAAAAGAGATGGTAATTTCGGAGTATTTAAATACGCCAAAGATCACCACCTCCCAAGAGCACTAGATCAAGTGAGGGGTCATTTAGACGTTAATTTCATCAAGTCCCTGTTAATATGGGAAGACACAGTGTCTATGCTTAAGGCACAACTCTCCTAAACACGAGAGTGAAGTGTACAACTTTAGAACACTTTCCCACCAGGAGACTCGAACCCTAGCCAGCACAGAAGCCTTCCAGCAACTGTTATGCCAGTTGCTGGAAGGCTTCTGTGCTGGCTAGGGTTCGAGTCTCCTGGTGGGAAAGTGTTCTAAAGTTGTACACTTCACTCTCGTGTTTAGGAGAGTTGTGCCTTATATATATATATATATATATATATATATATATATATATATATATATATATATATATATATATATATATATATATATATATATATATATATATATATATATATATATATATATATATATATATATATATATATATATATGTCGTACCTAATAGCCAGAACGCACTTCTCAGCCTATTATTCAAGGCCCGATTTGCCTAATAAGCCAAGTTTTCATGAATTAATGTTTTTTCGTCTACCTAACCTACCTAACCTAACCTAACCTAGCTTTTTTTGGCTACCTAACCTAACCTTACCTATAAATATAGGTTAGGTTAGGTTAGGTAGGGTTGGTTAGGTTCGGTCATATATCTACGTTAATTTTAACTCCAATAAAAAAAAAATTGACCTCATACATAGAGAAAAGGGTTGCTTTATCATTTCATAAGAAAAAAATTATAGTAAATATATTAATTCAGGAAAACTTGGCTTATTAGGCAAATCGGGCCTTGAATAGTAGGCTGAGAAGTGAGTTCTGGCTACTAGGTACGACATATATATATATATATATATATATATATATATATATATATATATATATATATATATATATATATATATATATATATATATATATATATATATATATACATATATTCGTTTAGTGAAATTGCTTTTCTCTATAGCTCATTGGAGATAACTCTTGCAACATATTGCAAACAATTGCAGTGTTTATTGCTACAATTTTGTATTAGTTGCTTAGTTCTATAACACAAGTTAGAAGGGCGAGGCAAAATTATGTATAAATTATAAACAAATCAATATTACCCCTCCCCTTATATATTCATTTCATTTAAAACGTGTACCAATTCCAATGATTAATCTGTTATTAAAAGTAAGTGTCCATATTAAGTAAATCACAGTGAAGCTAACGTAATAAATATATTATTTTTTTCAGAATGAAAATTCCTTTCCTGGTCATGTGTTTAAGGCCTGAGAAGAACAGTGACGGGAGAGGAGTGATGCTTAGTCCTCCCCAGCCTCCACCACATCCGGATGATGCTACCTCCTCTCCTCTTGCTCCTAATGATGCAACAATCTGGTAAGAATTCGCCTTTCATCAGTGCAAGGCGGATCCTGAAATAAATCCACTTCCATTGGTGTTGATGATGCACGGATTTGATCAAGACTTATCGGATTTAACCATATTACCCACTCCTCCCCCCCCCAACCCCCCTCCATCCTGCTGAAGATGCAGGAATGTGGTCTGAACTTGCTTAAGGAGAGAAGATGTGGCGGTGTCAGAGCCGGTATTTGAGGACCATATATTGGTGTCTTAACAGAAAATATGAAGTGATGAGAAAGTGTAAAAAGAGAAGTCGTTCCTCTTCCTGAGAATTCTCATAAATTCTCATAAATACACTAATAATGACAAGAAAAGTAGACAATAAAAATACTCAAGCTAGAAATGGAGCAACAAATACAAAAAATATCCATATGTGAAGGGGAAAAATGGAAGATAATATGCAGCAAAACCAAATATGACATATTTGTTAAAAACAATAACTTTAAAATTAAAATTTAAGTGAAGACGGCCAATAAACAGTTGATTAACGCGAGGAGTGATAGAAAAACGCCGGGGAGAAGGGGGATCGATCGAGGCCAGCATGGAGAGTGAGAGCTGGTCGCTACTACTGTGTGTGGTCGTTCTTATCTTAGGTAAGTTAGCCCTGACCTACAGATAAATGGCTTTCTGTCCGTCTGTCTTTCTGTCTGTCTGTCTCTCTCTCTCTCTCTCTCTCTCTCTCTCTCTCTCTCTCTCTCTCTCTCTCTCTCTCTCTCTCTCTCTCTCTCTCTCTCTCTCTCTCTCTCTCTCTCCCTCTCTCCCTGCAGAGAGAATAGTTGCAATTGCAATTGTCCCTAATTGTTATATAAAAGTATCTGTTTGAAGAAGGAAAGGTGGAACTATCAAAGGAAAGCGCCAAGCTATTACGACTATATAGCACTGGGAAGGGGTCAGGATAAGGATTTGGGATGGGACGGGGGAGAAGAATGGTGCCCAACCATTTGGACGGTCAGGGATTGAACGTCGACCTAAAGGAAGCGAGACCGTCGCTCTACCGCCCAGCCCAAGTGATTGGGTCTCTGTTTAAAGAGCATATGGAAGAACGTAATATTGCAATCAGCCAACCGTAGAATTAAAATGTAATTAATATGTGTGTGAGCTATTGACTGCAGGGCAGCTGTCGAAATAGATTTTGCTGCAGTTTAGGGAACCATAATGTGTTGTGTTGGTCATACGTCATATATTGAGTGGCTCACCCATCATTTATTGTGTTTACTATCATATGCCGTGTGGCTCAAACATCACGTACTCGGTACGAACCTAACAGGTAAATACCTATCCTACCGTATGCACTTGCCATTGTCTACGGGGAAGTGAGGACTAGCTTTAAACATCTCGCCTACTAGCCTTGTGCCTATTCCGTTATCATTTACCTGTCCTAATGTTGTAAACATTTGTCGACTTTAAGGTTATGGATAAGGGTGGCTTCTACAATACACACAGAAATCACAATAGCGTGTTATTGTGGTTATACCTCTCGGATGTAGGTTCGAACCCTCATTACGGCCCTTATGGATTTGTTCGTGGCATCTATATCTTCTTCTTTCAGTGCATTCCTGTTGTTGACCACTCGTAGAGGCTACGAGAGTTTCCATACAGTTCTTCAATCCATATGCGTTTCCAGCTTCCACTTATTGTCCTACTTTCTCTCAGTTTAAATGTAAATATGTCAATTCTCAGTAGTCTCCTCTGGAACCTATATATCAATTGATGAAGGGTTGAGAGGCGGGACCTAAGAGCCGTAACTCAACGCCCAGTAAGGTGAGTACACACACACACACTTGATGTTTTGTGTATGTGTTTGTGTGCAAAAAGTACACACACACACACACACACACACACACACACACACACACACACACACACACACACACACACACACACGAACCTAGGGAGGGTCGCTGGGGTCACGCGCTACAATAAACGCCAATATTTTTGGGTTAATTAATGCTACAGTGACAGATCACAGATCTAGGGGTATCACAAAGCGTATAACCGCAGCGAAAAGGAAAGAAATAATACAGTGCTATCACTAGAACTTTGTGTTAAACAGTGAATTCACCAGACAGGCGATGTGGGAGGGCCCAAAAGGCTTTGTTTACATATTGGGTCAAGTGATCAGTGGTACAGTGAATTGGTGAACTGTAACACAACAGACACACCGATACCTTGGCTACCTTGAGGTGCTTCCGGGGCTTAGTGTCCCCGCGGCCCGGTCGTCGACCAGGCCTCCTGGTTGCTGGACTGATCAACCAGGCTGTTAGACGCGGCTGCTCGCAGCCTGACGTATGAGTCACAGCCTGGTTGATCAGGTATCCTTTGGAGGTGCTTCTCCAGTTCTCTCTTGAACACTGTGAGGGGTTTGCCAGTTATGCCCCTTATGTGTAGTGGAAGCGTGTTGAACAGTCTCGGGCCTCTGATGTTGATAGAGTTCTCTCTCAGAGTACCTGTTGCACCTCTGCTTTTCAACGGGGGTATTCTGCACATCCTGCCATGTCTTCTTGTCTCATGTGGTGTTATTTCTGTGTGCAGGTTTGGGACCAGCCCCTCAATTATTTTCCACGTGTAAATTATTATGTATCTCTCCCGCCTGCGCTCAAGGGAGTACAGATTTAGGCTCTTTAGTCGGTCCCAGTAATTTAGATGTTTTACTGAGTGGATTCTAGCAGTAAAGGATCTCTGCACGCTCTCTAGGCCAGCAATTTCTCCAGCTTTGAAAGGGGCTGTCATTGTGCAGCAGTACTCCACTCTAGATAGCACAAGCGTTTTGAAAAGTATCATCATCGGTATAGCATCTCTAGTGTGAAAAGTTCTTGTTATCCAACCTGTCATTTTTCTTGCAGTTGTGACGGCTACTTTATTGTGTTCTTTAAAGGTAAGGTCTTCCGACATGAGTACACCCAGGTCCTTTACATTGCCTTTTCGTTCTATGATATGATTTGCCTGCGTTTTGTACGTGGTTCCTGTTTTTATATTTTCAATTTTTCCGTAGCGCATGAGCTGAAACTTATCCTCGTTGAATACCATATTATTTTCTGTAGCCCATAGAAAGACCTGATCAACATCTGATTGGAGGTTTGCCGTGTCCTCTATGTTGCCAACTCTCATGAAAATCCTAGTGTCATCTGCAAAGGATGATACAGTGCTATAGGTTGTGTTCTGGTCTATGTCCGATATGAGGATGAGAAAAAGTACTGGAGCAAGCACAGTACCCTGGGGGTACTGTGCTTGCAGTGACTGATACAGTGTACCGATACAGTGACTGACTCCAGAGATTTGTGTTAGATAGAGAAGAACCGCCATCATCAATGTAATGGATTAGTGAATCACCGCGTGGGAGGCGACGACGGATTACTTCGTCATCCAACATCGTAATTATTCACCTGGTTGTGTGAGCGGGAGGCTGACAGGTAGGTACACCTCTCTGGTCAATTCTTCAGGTGTACAGAGGTAAAATATTACCAAATTCTTGCTCAGTATATCAGATACATTTAAAATATCAAAGTGGCTGAATTTGGATAGAGGTTGACATTATACGGGGCCCCCGTAACACACGCACGTATGCACACGTACGTTTGCAAGCACACACGCATGCACACGCAAAAACAAACACATGCACAAACGCACACGCACGCACACACACATACGTCCAGTCAGGCTAGAAGGGATTACCACCTTTCGTGGAAAGGGATAAAACCTCACTCATAATTCACCCCCTCTCTTACCCCTTCTCTTACCCCCTCTCTTACCTGCCGTAATCGGCAGACAACACCTCACCTTCTCTTAACCTTCTCTCTTAACACACACACGCACACGCACACGTTCTCTCTGTTCTCTCTCTCACTCTCTATCTCTCTCTCTCTCTCTCTCTCTCTCTCTCTCTCTCTCTCTCTCTCTCTCTCTCTCTCTCTCTCTCTCTCTCTCTCTCTCTCTCTCTCTCTCTCTCTCTCTCTCTCTCTCTCTCTCTCTCTCTCTCTCTCTCTCTCTTGCTCTCTTTCTCTTGTTCTATCTCTCTTTTTCTCTCTCTTGCTCTCTCTTGCAATCTCTCTCTTGCTCTCTCTTGCAATCTCTCTCTTGCTCTCTCTCTCTCTCTCTTGACAAGGGGCAAAATGGCAGGAGGACTCAACAGGGCCACAGGAAACAGCCAGAGTGTCCAAACGAAGGAAACATTAACCCAAGTTCTGGAGGAATTCAGGAGGGAGATGCATGAAATGAGGATTACAATTAACAATCTGCAAAGTGAGCTGACATCAGCAGGGGAGAACAAATCACTCACAGAGAAAAATAAAGAGACCGAGCATCAGACTATCATCCAAAGGGAAGGTGGGAATGTTACATTGGATGGAAATGCCTCTGTACCTGAAACATTTGCGAAAAGACTGAAAAAGAGCTCAGAAACAATGGACACAGTGAGGGAGGTAGCGATGCAAGCAGCTACGTCACAGGAAGCAGCAAGGTGCACAGCTCAGCTGCTGGAGAGAAAAAGATCAGTGGTAGTTGTAGGCATCAAAGAACAGGAAGGATCCAACAGGCAAGAATGGAATAGCAAGGACAGAGAGGCAGTACATTGGCTACTGAAAGGGTTACAGATGGAAGGGGCTGAACAAAACATTGAGAAGGTTTTCAGGTTTGGCTGGTACAACAGGACAGAAACCGACTTGTAAAGGTAGTGTTAAAAAACGAAACCACGAAGGAGGATATTCTCGAAAGGTAGAGTCGTCTGCAGCATGTGGAGGGATACAAAAAAGTATTCCTGCAGAGTGACAGGACGAAGGAGGAGAGAGCCAGGACAGCAGAGGCAAGGAGGAAGCGCTGGGAGAGAGGAGCAAACCAGGAAATCAAACCCCCAACACAACAGTCCCAGAGACAAGAGGGTAGTCAAAAACCAGCATCCCAGCAACACCAGAGGGGAGGGCAACACCACCACCCCCCTCTGCATAGAAACCCTCCATTCCCCTCACCCTACCTGCCCCCACCCAACCATCCCTCCCCCCCACCCCATTCTGACCCTGTCACCCCTTCCCTATTCCCATCATGTCCCCCCCTCCCACCTTTCCCCCCTGTCCCCACTCCCCCTTCATCCCATACCCTCCCTATCCCTCCTCCCCCCTCACCCCGTATCCTCCATGTCCCCCCTATCTCCTTAACTCACACCCTACCTGTCCCCCCTTCCCTTAAACCCCCACCCCAAAATCCTCTGAGACCCTGCAAACCACGTCACAGATCTTCTCACCCACAGAACAGCTTCCCACACCAGCAGAATGCTCGCCAAGAAAGGGACAAGAAAATGAACAGAAGAAATTGAACTTCAAGGCAATGTACACTAATATAGATGGGATTACAAGTAAAACAAGTGAATTCGGAGAATGGGCACTAGAAGAAAACCCAGACATAATAGCACTCACAGAAACAAAGCTAACGAAAATCATAACAAACGCAGTGTTTCCACAGGGTCTACTATGTAGTGAGGAAGGAGAGAGAAGGGAGAGGAGGAGGTGGTGTAGCTTTGCTACTAGGAGAAGGTTGGTGTTTCGAAGAGATGGTAATTCAGAACTGTGAAGGTTTCAGTGACTACATATCAGGCACCATAGCAACTGGAGGACAGAAAATTATAGTAGTAGTCATATATAACCCCCGCCGAATGACAGAAGACCCAGACAGGAATATGATAGAAACAACTTGGCCACCATCAATATAATAGAGAGAACAGCTTCTGTGACTAGCAGGAATGGATCCAGAATACTAATCATGGGAGACTTCCACTATGGGAAGATAATTTGGGGGAACAGAGACCCACATGTAGGCCCAGATACATGGAGAGCTAAGCTGTTGGATGTGGTAACAAGAAACTTTCTAAGTCAACACGTCAAGGGGCCGACAAGAATGAGAGGAGGGGATGAACCAGCCTTGCTTGATCTGATATTTATCCTAAATGAGTCGGATATAAGGGAAGTTAAGTTGGAAGCCCCCTTGGGAATGAGTGATCATAGTGTATTGAGCTTTGAGTACTTGGTTGAGCTAGGAAATTTCACCCCAAAAAAGAACTGGGAAACAAAGGGCTGGCGTGCAGAAAGGGAAACTATGAGGAGATGAATAAATTTCTATGGGATATACATTGGGACACAGAACTCGGAACCAAGTCCGTACAAGGCATGATGGACTATGTCACCCAAAAATGTCAGGAGGGTTTAAGCAGGATTATCCCAGCCTGACAGGAAAAAAACAGAGAAGCAAAAGAAGAATCCGTGGTTTAATAGGGATTGTATGAAAGCAAAGGAGCTGAAAAAAAGGGCATGAAAGAACTTCCGTAATAACAGAACACCAGAAAGTAGAGAGAGATACCAGAGAACAAGGAACGAGTATGTTAGTGTGAGAAGAGCAGCTGAGAAAAGGTATGAAAATGATGTAGCTAATAAAGCCAAGACCGAAGCAAAGCTACTACACAGTCACATCAGGAGGAAGACAACAGTGAAGGAACATGTGATGAAGCTTAGGGTGGGCGAGGACAGGTACACAGAGAATGATAAAGAGGTGTGTGAAGAACTCAACAAAAGGTTCCAGGAGGTCTTTACAATAGAACAGGGAGATGTCACAGCGCTAAGAGAGGTGGCAGCAAACCAGGTGACCTTGGATAGGATCTAAATTACAAGAGATGAGGTCAAGAAACACCTATTGGAGCTGGATGTGAGAAAGCTGTTGGGCCGGACGGAATCTCACCATGGGTATTGAAAGAGTGAGTAGGAGCACTTTGCTTGCCACTCTCCATAGTGTATAGTTACTAGTAGGTCACTGGAAACGGGAGACCTACCAGAAATATGAAAGACTGCTAATGTAGTACCAATATACAAAAAGGGTGACAGACAAGAGGCACTGAACTACAGGCCAGTGTCCTTAACTTGTATACCATGCAAGGTGATGGAGAAGATTGTGAGAAAAAACCTAGTAACACATCTGGAGAGAAGAGACTTCGTGACAACCCATCAACATGGGTTCAGGGAGGGTAAATCTTGCCTTACAGGCTTGATAGAATTCTACGATCAGGTGACAAAGATTAAGCAAGAAAGAGAAGGATGGCGGACTGCATTTTTTGGACTGTCGGAAAGTCTTTGACACTGTACCCCATAAAAGGTTGATGCATAAGCTGGAGAAACAGGCAGGAGTAACTGGTAGGACGCTCCAGTGGATAAGGGGAGTACCTAAGCAATAGGAAGCAGAGAGTTACAGTGAGGGGTGAGACCTCAGAAGGGCGTGAAGTCACCAGTGGAGTCCCACAGGGCTCTGTACTTGGACCTATCCTGTTTCTGATATACGTAAATGATCTCCCAGAGGGTATAGACTCATTCCTCTCAATGTTTGCTGACGACGCCCAAATTATGAGAAAGATTAAGACAGAGGACAGATTGAGGCTTCAAGAAGACCTGGACAAGCTGCAGGAATGGTCGAACAAATGGCTGTTAGAGTTTAACCCAAGCAAATGTAATGTAATGAAGATAGGGGTAGGAAGCACGAGACCAGATACAAGGTATCATTTGGGAGATGAAATACTTCAAGAGTCAGAGAGAGAGAAAGACCTGGGGGTTAATATCACGCCAGATCTGTCCCCTGAAGCTCATATCAAGAGGATAACATCAGCAGCATATGCCAGGTTGGCTAACATAAGAACGGCCTTTAGAAACTTGTGTAAGGAATCTTTCAGAACATTATATACCACATATGTCAGACCAATCCTGGAGTATGCGGCTCCAGCATGGAGTCCATATCTAGTCAAGCATAAGACTAAACTGGAAAAGGTTCAAAGGTTTGCCACCAGACTAGTACCCGAGCTGAGAGGTATGAGCTACGAGGAGAGACTACGGAAATTAAACCTCACTTCGTTGGAAGACAGAAGAGTTAGGGGGGGGGGACATGATCACCACATTCAAGATTCTCAAGGGAATCAACAGGGTTGATAAAGACAGGCTATTTAACACAAGGGGCACACGCATTAGGGGACACAGGTGGAAACTGAGTGCCCAAATGAGTCACAGAGATATTAGAAAGAACTTTTTTAGAGTCAGAGTGGTTGACAAATGGAATGCATTAGGAAGTGATGTGGTGGAGGCTGACTGCATACACAGTTTCAAATGTAGATATGATAGAGCCCAATAGGCTCAGGAACATGTACACCTGTTGATTGACGGTTGAGAGGCGGGTCCAAAGAGCCAGAGCTCAACCCCTGCAAGCACAACTAGGTGAGTGCACACACACACACACACACACACACACACACACACACACACACACACACACACACACACACACACACACACACACACACACACACACACACACACACACTGCTTGGCTGACAATAACACCCCGATTGTTTTAAAACAATCGACAATGAATGAATGCTGTTTACAATGCATAATTAATGATTCTAAATGCCGTCAGTATAGTTGTACGCCTTTCAGATATATTTCAATAATCATTACTCACTGCTCTTAAAAACCGACACATTTTGTTTAACTACTTCAAAAAAATTCCGAACATCACATTTTTATTACAGAAAATATCAAATCAACGACCTCCTTAATTCGCTAAATTGTTTTCTTAATTGCATTGCTTACGTCTGGAAATCAAGATGTAAAAAATATATGTATGAATGTGCTTATTTATGTAAATGTAATCACCTGGGTTTCTTTAGCTGGCCCAACGGTAGAATCGTGCACCTTTCAATCATATTTACAATGGAATCCAAGGACTTTGCTCAATCTCGCTTATAATAACATATTTACACATACAATTTTTAGATTTAATTAGTTTAAATCAATTCTTCATCTAATTTATGCTATTTATTAACAATCATTACATTAAAGATGTTCTTTTCTATCATTTATGTAATTCTTCTGCGTTTCTATTCTTTTCTGTTTGTTCTCTTTCTTGTCCTCTGGTTCTGCCGTTCTCAGCAATAAACATAATCTCTGTCTACCTTGTTGATTCCATTTACAATTGTGTATGTCGCAATCATGTTTCCAATGTTCTTCTTTGCATCCAGTGCGATTAAGTCAAGTTCCCAGAGTCTCAATTTTCTAAGTTCAGTTCACTCATCTCAGGAGAAACTTTACTGTGTATCGTTCAAACGTTTCTAAATATCTTTAATGCCGGGGGTTGCATATTTGCAGGTGAGTGCCACAAAGTTCATTGCACCCTCGAGTATCTCATTTTGTTTTCAAAGTTACTAAATGCTGTCCAGACGTTGATCGATTTCTCATATGCCGCTCATAGTTTTTTGTTAATGTGTCGTAATGTGGGTGCTGGTGGCTCTACCTACTGAGCCACCAGCACCCACAATAGCATTTCGGAGACACCTATCTGCTTTCCAACTATAGAACTTTAAGTTTTGAAGATGTAACAGTATATATAAACACCATTCTTACACGTTCAACAAATCATTCACTGAATCTAACTTACTTATGGTTCTGATCCCCCAGGGAATATGGTGGGGCAGGCAGGGGCGGGCACAGGGCTATACATGGGTCCTTATTTCCCCAGCCCTCAGCCACTGAACATCACCGTACACCAGGACACCGTAGCCTACCTTCCCTGCACCGTCAATCAGCTTGGAGACAAGTCGGTTAGTGCCACAAAATCTACAAAAGTCTAAAACAGAGTTTTTTGTATTTTTTTGTAACTCAAAATTGTATTTCATACTTAGGTTTTTTTATTACTTTTTTCTTCTTAAACACCAAAGTTTTAGGTATTAATAGTGAAGATCTGTAATTTTCTTGAATTTGTATTATTTTTTTTTTTTTGGGGGGGGGGGGCGATTTATCACCCATTTCATTTCTCATTAATTATCAGTTATTATAACCTTTCCTGGCATGTTCTTTATGCTTTCTTTATTTATTAAACGTTTAACTTTTATTTTGTGCCCTATGAAGCTTTGTTTGTTATTTGAATTCATCATTAAATGCTGTGTTATCACGTACATTGCTGAATTAGATTGTCATAAATTCAATGTAAATTGGTAGAATTTCTCTTGTAAATTGGTAGATTTGGTCATGTAAATTGGTTTGTTATGCAGATGTTATGACGTTATTAGATATAAGCTGACTTATGAGAACGAAATCTCATAGGCTGTTATGTCTGCAGACCCTCTGCAGTTACCTTTGTTCTTATGTTCTTATGAAATGAGAGTGCTTGATATAAAGTCCTTCGGCTATGTCTAAAATAGTTTTCTCGCTAAATCTAGTGATTATTTCTAGGTCTTGATGAACGTTCTCTGATAGTTCACATGAACATATTCCTCTCTAATCACTTACAGACTTTTTATATATACTGCCTCATTGTGTATAAAATAAATACCATTACACGTTTCCAATAATATTTACAATGTGTGTGTGTGCTAACTAATTACTGCATCCAGGGTCCTGAGTTGGGTCTCCGTCCTGCAGGTGTCTTGGGTGAGGCAGAGGGACGCGGATATACTAACAGTGGACCGCTACACCTTCGTCAGGGACGACCGGTTGACCGTACACTTCACCCCTGATACAGGCACCTGGACGCTGGTCATCAAGTACGTCCAGGAGCGCGACGCTGGCACCTATGAGTGCCAGATCTCCACCGAGCCAAAGATGTCAATGCTGGTCCATCTTAACGTCATTGGTGAGTCACGGTTACTTGTTGCTTCCTGCTGGTGCTTGCAATCATCCAGCTGGTGTTTGCAATCATCCAGCTGGTGCTTGCAATCATCCAGCTGGTGCTTGCAATCATCCACCTGAAGCTTGCAATCATCCAGCTGGTGCTTGCAATCATCCAGCCAGTGCCTGGTGCTTGTGAGAGCCAGCTGGACTGGTAACCTACAATTTGTGTCTGGTGCTGGTCGGTAAAATTCCTGTCTTCCACTCTGGTGCTACTGGGTTCGAGACTCCTGAGGGTAAAAGTGAATGGAATGTTATTTTCAACTTTCAATGTGGTTTGCAAGTGGTTTGACTGGCACGAGGATCACCTAATTGTCTAATTAGTCTAATCAATCTAATTAGTCTAATTAATCAATCTAATTGTTAGGATCACCTAAATCATCATTTATTGATAACAAAGTCTAAGGGAAGTTTTTGTGAGAATCCAGAGTATAGATTTGAATCCGTAACTATAACTCAGCGCCCTGGCAAGTACATCAAGTAATTAAAGTTCACTTGACTGCTCCACTTACTCACTGCTGCTCTGATAATCTCTTCAATGTCGGCTCCTTTCACTCTGCAAAGTGATAATGAGGTCGCATATCAGACGATCTCCCTTTGACAGATCCGTCGTTCGCGATCATTCTCAATACGTTGAGATCCAACGGCCCAATTGGAGCCAGACTTTGCACGTTCTAATTAGCTGTCACCGATTATATATGATAATTGGAGCGATGAAAGCCTCCTACTTATCCTTCCAGGCTTCTAATTGGTTGAGGCCCCTCACTCGACACATAAGGGAAAGGTTCTTAATTGTCTTTCATCTTCACTACGTAGTTATGGGCTTCTTAAAGAGCCTGGGGCTAGATTCACGAAGAAGTTACGCAAACATTTACGAACCTGTACATCTTTTCTCTATTTTTGGCGGCTTCGTTTACAATTATTAAGCAGTTAATGAGCTCCGAAGCACCAGGAGGCTGTTTATAACAATAACAACAGTTGATTGAAAAGTTTTCATACTTGCAAACTGTTTAATAAATGTAACCAAAGCCGTCAAAGATTGAGGAACGATGTACACGTTCGTAAGTACTTGCGTAAATGCTTCGTGAATCTGACCCCATGGATGGTAGCAGCGGACTGTCTGGTCCCCTTAACCAACAACAAATGAATACCCTGCTTTAGAATACCTTGAGAGGTGTATTGAATTTATGATTTAATAGAAGTGCGTTCTTTGCAAGCAACGTGCAGAGCGTTGCAGCTTAAAAACAAGGAATGTTGTCTTGACAGAGAGGGTGTCACTAAACATTGGTGCCATGCGTGTGAATATATGGTATATAACTCACTGAGAACTCATCTGAAATAAGGAGACTCTGTGAAAACCTATGTGTGTACATATATATATATATATATATATATATATATATATATATATATATATATATATATATATATATATATATATATATATATGTCGTACCTAGTAGCCAGAACGCACTTCTCAGTCTACTATGCAAGGCCCGATTTGCCTAATAAGCCAAGTTTTCCTGAATTAATTGTTTTTCGACTACCTAACCTACCTAACCTAACCTAACTTTTTCTGCTACCTAAACTAACCTAACCTATAAAGATAGGGTAGGTTAGGTTAGGTAGGGTTGGTTAGGTTCGGTCATATATCTACGTTAATTTAACTCCAATAAAACAAAATTGACCTTATACATAATGAAATGGGTAGCTTTATCATTTCATAAGAAAAAAATTAGAGAAAATATAATAATTCAGAAAAACTTGGCTTATTAGGCAAATCGGGCCTTGCATAGTAGGCCGAGTACGACGTTCTGGCTACTAGGTACAACATATATATATATATATATATATATATATGTCGTACCTAGTAGCCAGAACGCACTTCTCAGCCTACTATTCAAGGCCCGATTTGCCTACTAAGCCAAGTTTTCATGAATTAATGTTTTTTCGACTCCCTAACCTACCTAACCTAACCTAACCTAACTTTTTCTGCTACCTAACCGAACCTAACCTATAAAGATAGGTTAGGTTAGGTTAGGTAGGGTTGGTTAGGTTCGGTCATATATCTACGTTAATTTTAACTTCAATAAACAAAAATTGACCTCATACATAATGAAATGGGTAGCTTTATCATTTCATAAGAAAAAAAATAGAGAAAATATATTAATTCATAAAAACTTGGCTTAATAGGCAAATTGGGCCTTGAATAGTAGGCTGAGAAGTGCGTTCTGGCTACTAGGTACGACATATATATATATATATATATATATATATATATATATATATATATATATATATATATATATATATATATATATATATATATATATATATATATATATATATATATTTATATGTCGTACTTAGTAGCCAGAACGCACTTCTCAGCCTACTATGCAAGGCCCGATTTGCCTAATAAGCCAAGTTATCATGAATTAATTGTTTTTCGACTACCTAACCTAACCTAACTTATCTTTATAGGTTAGGTTAGGTTAGGTAGCCGAAAAAGTTAGGTTAGGTTAGGTTAGGTAGTCGAAAAACAATTAATTCATGATAACTTGGCTTATTAGGCAAATCGGGCCTTGCATAGTAGGCTGAGAAGTGCGTTCTGGCTACTAGGTACGACATATAAATATATATATATATATATATATATATATATATATATATATATATATATATATATATATATATATATATATATGTCGTACCTAGTAGCCAGACCGCACTTTTCAGCCTACTATGCAAGGCCCGATTTGCCTAATAAGCCAAGTTTTCATGAATTAATTGATTTTCGACTACCTAACCTACCTAACCTAACCTAACCTAACTTTTTCGGCTACCTAACCTAACCTAACCTATAAAGATAGGTTAGGTTAGGTTAGGTAGGGTTGGTTAGGTTCGGTCATATATCTACGTTAATTCTAACTCTAATAAAAAGCAATTGACCTCATACATAATGAAATGGGTAGCTTTATCATTTCATAAGAAAAAATTATAGAAAATATATTAATTCAGGAAAACTTGGCTTATTAGGCAAATTTGGCCTTGCATAGTAGGCTGAGAAGTGCGTTCTGGCTACTAGGTACGACATATATATATATATATATATATATATATATATATATATATATATATATATATATATATATATATATATATATATATATATATATATATATATTAGTATATTTTGGTAGCAGTCTTTCCTGTAGACATATATTATTAAATATGACCGAAAAAGTAAGATTAATAATTCTAACACGAATTTTCTCAATCTTTCGAACATTTCTTTTCACTGTTGGAGGTAATTCAAAAATCAATTTTCCAAAATTCATTTTTATTTCTAGTCTGACGCGACACTTGAGCGCGTTTCGTAAAACTTATTACATTTTCAAAGACTTTAGTTAACACATACACAACTGAATAGAACTTACACATCTCCGATTTTGTTTATATCTACATTTGAGTGAGGTGGATGGGGTGAGGTGGTATTTAATAAGGTATTAATTTCATCAACACAAGCCAGAACATGAAACAATGGGTATTGAATAGAAGTGATTGTAGAAAGCCTATTGGTCCATATTTCTTGATGCTTCTATATTGGAGCGGAGTCTTGAGGTGGGTAGAATATATTTGTGCATTAATTGGCTGTTGGTTGCTGGTGTTGACTTCTTGATGTGTAATGCCTCGCAAACGTCAAGCCGCCTGCTATCGCTGTATCTATCGATCATTTCTGTGTTGTTTACTAGGATTTCTCTGGCGATGGTTTGGTTGTGGGAAGAGATTATATGTTCCTTAATGGAGCCCTGTTGCTTATGCATCGTTAAACGCCTAGAAAGAGATGTTGTTGTCTTGCCAATATACTATTTTTTTTGGAGCTTACAGTCCCCAAGAGGGCATTTGAAGGCATAGACGACGTTAGTCTCTTTTAAAGCGTTCTGTTTTGTGTCTGGAGAGTTTCTCATGAGTAGGCTGGCCGTTTTTCTGGTTTTATAGTAAATCGTCAGTTGTATCCTCTGATTTGTGTCTGTAGGGATAACGTTTCTATTAACAATATCTTTCAGGACCCTTTCCTCCGTTTTATGAGCTGTGGAAAAGAAGTTCCTGTAAAATAGTCTAATAGGGGGTATAGGTGTTGTGTTGGTTGTCTCTTCAGAGGTTGCATGGCATTTCACTTTCTTTCTTATGATGTCTTCGACGAAACCATTGGAGAAGCCGTTGTTGACTAGGACCTGCCTTACCCTACAGAGTTCTTCGTCGACTTGACATACCAGAAAATATCCTAAGGAAACAACTCCAAGCTTCTACTAAAGAGGCACCCTTCTTGAGCCCGGATGATCACATGTATAAGCAAGTAGATGGGGTCGCCATGGGTTCTCCCCTAGGTGTCCAGTTTGCAAACTTCTACATGGGTACCATCGAGCAAAAAGTCTTAGTCGACATGAACATGAAACCGGCCATATACTGCAGGTATGTTGACGACATTTTTACACAGGTACCTGATGTCAGACATCTGCAGGAGTTGAAGGAGGCATTTGAGCGGAGTTCCGTGCTGCGTTTCACTTATGAGATGGAAAAGGATGGGAAGCTGCCCTTTCTAGATGTAACAGTCATGGAAAAGAGCGGAGGTTTCCACACTGCAGTCTACACTAAGGAAACGAACATAGGAATGTGCCTAAATGCCAAAAGCGACTGCCCAGATAGGTACCAAAGGAGTGTTGTTAACGCATATGTCGACCGTGCTCTCAGCCACAGCTCAGAATGGAAGCAAGTCGACAAAGAACTCTGTAGGGTAAGGCAGGTCCTAGTGAACAATGGCTTCTCCAATGGTTTCGTCGAAGACATCATAAGAAGGAAAGTGAAACGCCATGCAACCTCTGAAGAGACAACCAACACAACACCTATACCCCCTATTTGTCTATTTTACAGGAACCTCTTTTCCACAGCTCATAAAACGGA